TACCTAGTTTTCTACAAAGGGAAGTATCTGTCTCTTATACACATCTAGATGTGTATAAGAGACTTATTTAAAGGTATCATGTAGCTTTCAATGTTCTTATGGTGGCGGGACGGAATTCCAAAAGGTGGTTTGACGGAATTAAATAATAATTTTAGTTTAAAATTGTTTTAAATTTTCCAAAATTACTTTTTAAGCCAAAATCATAAATTAGACTTTTATAATCATAATATTGTTAAGAATTATGGAAATGGAATCGATGCAAACACTTTTAAAAACTAATTATACTTCATAATGGTGGTAGTACGGAATTCTTAATAAGTGGCGGGACGGAAAATAATAAAATGGGTTTTAAATTAATTTTAATTTGACAAAGTTATTTTTGAAAGCTAAATCATAAATTACATATGTAAAATCATATAATAGCAAAATGTAATGAAAATCAAATCATAGTAAAGCGTCTAGAAAAAATTTAATTTGTTTTAACTGGTGGCGGTACAGAATTTGACCCAATAAAAATGCATGTCACATTTTTGGCTCATGTTGTTTCCAAAGCCGGCATAGAGCCTAACCCTGCTAATCTTTAGAAGGTCAAACGTTGGCCTATTCCACGTAATGTCACCCAGGTCGGAGGTTTTGTGGGTCTTTGCTCATATTACAGGCGTTTCGTGAAAAACTTTGCCTCAATTGTTCGTCCTCTGCAACTACTACAGTATCACACAAAGGCGTACCTTTTGTTTGTCAGATGAGTGTGATCATGCTTTTAACATATTGAGAGAAAACTTGATAACCCACCAATTGCGGCGTATCCTGATTTTAATTTACAATTTAAACTTTTCACAGATGCTTCAGAATTTTCTATTGGCTCAAATTCAGGAGGGTAAGGAACGGGTTATCGTTTATGCCAGCATGCTCTCAGCAAAAGTGAAAGTGGTCTACTTATGATAGGGAGTTGTATGCTATTGTGTGGAGTGTCAGGCATTTTAAGCATTATTTGCGTGGTAACCATTCTTATTGTTACAGGCCACAAACCCTTGACAGGTTTACAGGGGTTACATATAGAAAATGATGTTCAGACAGACTTTAACCGCACACTGAAGGATCAACTGGCTAAACAGCTTTATGGTGAAGGCAAGGAGTGGGACACCTTACTCAGTCAAATTGAATTGCAGTACAATTCAATGGTTCATGAAACTACCGAATTCAGCCCATTTTACCTTGTCCATGGACGAGAACCAAGATTGACCAGTCAGGTGCTTTATGGCCCCAACACATTTCATCCCATTTCTACTACCCAAGAGTATGTTACCGATTTAGATAAGCGTATTACCAGAGCTAGGGATTTAGTGTCCAATAACATCGCTATCCAAAAACACAAACAACAACATTATCATGAAACAAAGATTTTGTGCATACCAAGTTGGTGAAAAAGTTTGGATTGATGATCCAGTTTAAATGTACGGAATAAATTGGCTCCTTGATGGCAGGGCCCATTTCAAGTTGTTAATGTGAGTGAGGATGTGTTGTCTACAAACTGCAAGTGGTTAATGGCAGAATATATCCTAGAAAGATACACTACAATCGCCTTAAGTCATACATTGAACCATCTGTTACCAAGCAGCCTGTTGTTAGGACAGACGTATCGCAGTTGAATGAGAAAGCTGTAGCACCCTTCAGTGTTACTAGAACAGGCAGAACAGTGAAGCCACCTTCCAGATTCCTGGAATAACTGCGAATGTACAGTATATGTAAACACTTACACACATATTACATGAATTTACAATTAACACACACACAACCAAAAACCACCAGGTGTCAATGAGACATGTCTGGTGCATGCGCAGGCAAACTTGCGTATCGACGCGTACATAATTTTTGTACGCATGTGGTTATAGGAGCTAGGATTTGTTTTTTCTGGTTTTAGTGTTAGTGGCATGAGGGTCTTTTCTCCTTTACTTGATTATGGGGAATTGAATACGTCCATGCGTACGTAATGTTTTTAAAGCATGTTGTTTATAGAAGTTAGGATTTGTTTTGGTTCTAGTTTTAGCTGGTATTTGGGTCATTCCTGCTTGCGCAGCTTGCGTGATTGAATATATAATTGTGATAGACTTGTCAATAATTTCACTGTTTCTGGTAGTTCAAACTCTCTTTCATCACTTGTGGTCTACTACAAGTTCCATGGATTATTGTATGCAGAAATTTTTTTAAATTTTTTTGGACGAGATGATTGTTTTCTGTTTTATTATTATTAATATGTAGTACCGTACGCAATTCGTATGCTACGTGAATGATTTGAAAGAGGTTGTACTGTACACTCCTCGTATATGCTACACAGGGAGAGATTCTGTCTTTATTTGGTTTGCACCATAAGCTATTCGTAGGCTGCATTACTGAATGCTTTTTTTTTTTGAGATATTTTGTGGAAGATTTTTTTTTTGCACCATACATTATCCGTTTGCTGTTGCGTTGACTATTTATTTGTGTTTGTTTTTTTGCACCGCTAGTCATATGCTGCGCTATTGAATGATTTCTTTGGAATTGTTTGCACCGTTCGTATACTGTACTATTGATTATATGGAGATGATTACTGTACGCTTTCGTATGCTACAGTGATGGTAGATTTTTTTTTTTTTTGGCACTGTACGGTATTCGTATGCTGGTGTGTTGCATTTGTGACATTTTCGTATATGCAATTCATATGCTACATGTTTTTCTTTTATTTGAGACAATTTATATTTTTTTTTTGTATCATACACCATTTCTATGGTACAGTACATGGATACTGAGCAGTTACTTCCTTCACCGTATGCCATTCATATGCTGGAGTTATGTCAACAGTCACAGAGTCATCTAGAATCTCATCGACGATGGAATTTAACCAATACTCAATCTCATCAGTGGAATCTACTTGGAGTCATCAATATTAAGGCATGTGAACTTCATCTATCAATCTTCAGATGTTCAACCAATGGAACCATTGTTTTCTGATGTACTTCAACCACGAACTGATCACCTTGCCTGAGGATATTCTTTAATTGAGCGTTTTATTATTATATGAACTCTGTTTTAAATCATATTTTACTGAATTCATAATAACTGACACATGAACAACCAGCTAAGCAAAAGAATTTTAATTAATTTCATGAACACTCAAACTGTAATATACTGTAAATACCATAATAATGAGATTGCTTATAATAATATCAGTGCAGAATGTTATTTAATGTATTTCATTATGTACATTATAATACTATAATGCATCGATAGGCTTATGTATTTGTTATTATTTCTGCATACATATGAGAAGTGGGACACTTCTTGGAAAGAGGAGTAGTGTAAGCTTTCAACTTTAAGATATACATATTATGGGATGGTCCTGCGAAATAGTCTCGTGGGCCGATTTGATAGGAAGAGACTAGAGGGCGAGACGAGTCTTGGACGGCCGGTGTGAGCAAGCTGCGTCTTGTGGTCACGCATTAGACAAATAAACCCATTTATGATCAGCTTTTATAATAGTGTCTGGATCTCTTTGTATTTCACGAACACTGTAAGGGCACAATAGTTTTAAGCACATTGATCTTGTGTAATACGATATCTTATGTATTATACAGTACGTTAGAGAGTGGACTTATTCTGTGTAAGCCAGACAGAAGTCATCAGGAAGTGGTCACAGCTATAATTTTGCTATTGTCAAGCGTACCCATGATTAGTCTCTGATTCAAGATATTGAATCAGGGATGAACATCAGTGGCGAAATCTTCTTTGTCTGAAATACTGTCATGTTTTTGATATATTTTAACCAGTTATTTACGTTACACCTTGATAAAGAAAAGTGAATTAACTCATGGGAAACAAATCCAAAGCATCTTCCAGGTCGAACCAAGAATATATGAGCTGTCTTATTATAGTATTTTGAGTGTCGAACAATTTCGTGGATTTAAACCGTATTGTGTTCTACAACTCCACTGTGACCTGCTGTTATAATTTTCCTATTGTCAAAAGCGTACCCATGATTACTCTGATTCAGTATATTGAATCAGAGTGCCAAAGCACATATGTCAGTTGCGAAAGTGGGTCGTCCTGGAAGATGCCTTTTCATAGCTTAAAAGTGTCCGATGACCAATTTTTTGTTACAACTTTTTTGATATATAGGTTTTAACCGGTTATACTTTACTGATAAAGAAAAGTGAATTATTAAGTCATGGGAAACAGATCCAAAGGCGTCTTCCAGGTCGAACCAATTTATATGAGCTGTCATAGCATTTTGAGTGTCGAACAATTTCGTGGATAACCGTATTGCGTTCTACAACTCCACTGACCCTTTTAATAAAAGCCTTTTGTAGGGACAAGTTAATTATATTGTTTTTAATATGAAACTCTCCAGATTCTCAGCGAGTAGTTGATAGTTTAGCTTACCAACTGACGATGCTAAAGCAATCATCCTAAAATTGGATGGGTCTGACGTATCTCCTTAATATGTAGAAAGATAACATTACTTGTGGTCCAATTATTTATACTGTAGGTCTAAAGTAAAGTGGGTATCTTGTAGGCAATATATTGCATATTTCTTTCCGCTTAAGTAATTAAAAACATTCCTTCGTTTGTTAAAGTCGGAAAGCCCTCTACCGTTCACAGGATGCTACTGTGATTCCACTATTTTTGGGTTAATGATTAATCATTTTGTTATGTATTGTTCGAACGATACTAATTTAAATCTAACGATTTAGGAGTTCTACGTAAATCACATATCCGCCTATATTTAAATTGGTAGATAAAATAGGTATACCATGAGAAATGCGTTAATTTGTTTAGGTACATTATTTAAATTGGTATCATCTCAAAATCAAACCAGTCTCTATCAATAGCATTCATTTCGTAAGTTTTAGTTAAAAGCCACACTGTTAGGAAATTATTTCTCAATGAGAAAAGAAACCTGGAAAGATAAAAAAAACAACATGTAACCAACATATAACATTTAAAATCTCCTTCGGTTTAATGCAGCAAAAAGAATGCAATACAAAATATAAAAAACAGTTTTCTTCATAATATTTTCTTTTCTAAGGAAAAAAAAAACAGGTACCAATTTCGATTTTGTATGTTCATAGACTGGAGTTGCGCAAAAAAGTTGATATAAATTCCCGCCCTACATATCCGACTTTGGTTAGAAATTAGGGAAGAAGAAAACAAACATACATACATAACATCTAATTCTCCCACGTTTCCGTGTTCTGTGTTTCCTAGAAGTATTCTTTCTCCTCATAATTTGTGATGTTTGGCAAAATTGCCAAATCCCTTAGTGTCTTTTTAACAAATCTACCCTCTGCATCCTTAGTTACAGTACAAGAGCAGCTGGAACCAACCAGAGTATCATCGCAAATTTACCTTCGTGTCTTAATCTTATCTTCTCCCTTTATTAGCTCTTTTCTCTCTTTCCTGACTTTTGTGGACACGTCATCCGACACTGTGATAAACTTTCCTTTGTATTTTTTCTGTTTCAATATCTTCGGGGCATTTTTTAAAATTCTTTCTCTATCCACATAACTCAAAAATGTAATGATAACTGACCTAGGGTTTGACCCTTGTTTTCCCATCCTATGGGCACGCTCTATGTCAACACTCATGTTGAAGCCATTTTTTAAAGTCTTTCATGAAAGTTCTACAGCTTGCCCCTTCCGCTTTCTCTGGAGTTTTTCCTTCTGGACATATTTTCAAGATCCTCAATTGATGACTGCAATCTTTCTGTGACTTCATTTTTAATGCATTTTTTCATTTTTTACCCTTAATGACCAGGTCATTGATGTGGTCGATTCTATGAAGTTATTAGGTGTAATTATTCGAAATGATTTAAAATGGGACAAACATGTGAATGAATGTATCTCTAAAGCTTCTAAGCGCCTTTTTACGCTTTCAGTTCTAAGGAAAGCTAAAGCCTCTGTAAATATCTTTTATGCGTTTTCATTACTTACATTCGTCCTGTTTTGGAATACGCATGCCCATTGTGGCATAGTTCTTTAACCATTATCCAACGAAATAGAATTGAGCGGGTTCAAAAGAGGGCGCTTAGGAGTATTTTTGGTATGGATTACTGTAGTTATGATAATGCTTTAATATTGTCCGAGCTCTCTTCTCTTAATACTAGGAGAGAAAATTTAATGATGAAGTTTGGTAATGGAGTTCTTGCTTCGAAATTGTTTCGTGATATGCTTCCCCCCTATCGCAATCACGGTAGGAATTTGAGAAATAATAGTGCTCCTTTGTGTAGGACACAACGATGGAAAAGCTCCACCATTCCTAAAATTATTGATGGCATTAATAATTCTAAAGTTAAATTGAATTTGGATATTTTTCATCCATAATTCAACACTAACAATAACATTTTACATGGTGTAAGTTGCAGTAGTTTGACAATGATGCTTATTATTAGAATGTTAAAGTATTATATGGTATTTAATATGTTATATAAAAGTATATATATGTTTGTTAGTGTATATTTATGTGTATATTTTATGTATATATATTATTATATTGTATTATAGATTATATATTTTTATATATTATGTATATATATATTGTGTATAATTTTGATATGATTATGTAATATATTGTAATATTGTTATGATTATGATAATAATAATAGTAATTATAATAATA